TTATTTTTATAAATAACAAAGTAAAGCTTTAATTTATTCTCTATAAGCTTAAAAAAATTATTATACATTTTTGAAAACTTCTCTTTGTAATTGATAGAAGCTTTTAGAGTTTTTGTTTAAGAATCCTTAGCCTTTAAAATTAGAAGATATCCAATTAGTGTCTTAGATTTGATTTGTTTTTCTAAGAGTTAAAAATATTGCTAAATAATAAAATATTAGATGCCTAGAGAATTTTTCTATATGATCAAGTGTTATTATATTTGAATAAAAAATAATTAATAACAAATATTATTCAAAAAGTAATTCTGAATCTTCTTGCCATTACCAATTACAATTGTATTATTTTTCAAATAATAGATATTCTTTACTATCTATTATTTCTAATTTATCTTTATAATAAAGAGCCAGTAATTAATTAATATTATTAACTATTAACAAAGATTTTATTATCTTAATTAATAGTTATAATATCAAAAAGTAATAATACAACTCTTTCTATTAATCATTAAAACATAAATTTTCAAAAACAAAAATTAACAAAAACTACAAAAACACACAAAAACTACTAAAAAATCTAACCCAGAGCTCTAAGTAAAGAGAAAAAGGACCACAAGAAACACTTAGTCTTTTAAGAGACATAAATAAAAAAAGCAGAAGTGACAAAGTAATAGAAGAAGTCATAAAAAATCAGCAATATTTTTTTGTACTTTGTGAATTTTTAGAGAATCAGCCTTAACCCTGAATCACAGATCTGTTTTGATGATACAAGAATAGCAATATGTAATGAAATATAAACAAAAGAAATATACTAAAAACTATGTAATGAAAATAAACACAGATAGTAAACAAGTATACCAAACAACAACAACAATTAACAACAATGAAAAAACAACAAGTTACATAAAGCAAGAAGCAGTTAATTTATAACCAAAAAACTATGAAGAAAGACAAGCTTATATATAGCAAGCACTAGCATTATTGACTAATGAAGAAAGAGCAAATAATTTAGAATGAATATTAGCAAAGTTAGCAGAAAACACTAGAAAAAATTTATTATAATAGAAGAAGCAGAGTCACAGATTGAAGATCTGTACAAAGAATTACATCAATATAGAAAAGAAGAATTACAGTATACAGAACTTGTATTTAAAAAAAAAATTATCAGTACTATCACATAGCAATGCTAAGGGAATAGATCCAGCTAGCCATATCATAATTGAAGAGATAAATAATATTATGTTCTACTTAGACATGGTCGAGTGGATAAGAGGGATAATAGATATTAGGGTGAAGCAAGTTGATAAAATAAAGTCAAATTAGAAACAGGTTGGAGCAAGAGACTCCAAGAACAAAAAAAATTTATACAAAGGTAGCAAAATAAAACAGCTCTAAAAAACCTAATGCAACAATTCAAAAATTTATTGAAGCTATTACAACAAACTAGCCTGAGACAAAAAGAAAACCAAAAAAAGAAAAAAAGAAAAACAAGTCTAAAAAAAGAGAAACAAGCTGCAAAATATATAACTAAGACAATAAGATAGATTTTAGAATTTAAACAAGTTGTCAAATTGAGATCCAAAGTAGAAGAAGATTGAAGCTAGAAACTTCAAGAACAAAGAAAAATCAGACAAAAATAGCACAATTAAATAGCCTTAAAGAATTTAGTACAACAATTCAAAGTATTTAGCAAAGCTAATATAGCAAAACAATAAGAGACAAGAAAAAAGCTAAAGAAAAAAGAAAAAAATACAAGCTTACAAAAAGAAAAACAAGCTGATAAAATAAAGTTGTAGTTAAAATTAAACTAGAGTAAGAGACTTCAAGAACAAGAAAAAAATTGACAAATATAGTATAACAAAATGGCTTTAAGGTCTCTAGTAATACAATTCAAAGTATCTGTCAAACTTGACATAGCAAACCAATATAAGGAAAAAAAATTAGAAAAAAAAGAGTAAGAGAAGTAGGAGACAAAATATTTTAGATTTCACAGTAACAAAGGCATTAAACAAAATGCAAGAAGAATCAAGACCAAAAATCATACTAACTACTTCAACAGAATGGTTGATAGAAGCAATATACTAAGCAAGCATCAAAAACTTATATGCTAACAATAAAATATGAAAAAAGAAAAAGAAAAACTTGCTTATAAAATGAATATATTCAAGACCCTATTGGAATATTGATTCGAATCTGATTCAAGATATATTGATAGCTAAATTGAAGAGAGTTAAGAATTGAAAAAGGAAAAAGAAAGAGCTAATAGAAAAGACCTTAGTAGAAACTTTTAAAAACCTCAAAACTTTCATCAAAGTATAAAAAAAGTTCTTTAAAAGAAAACCAAGGTTCAGAAGGAAAAAAACTAAAGATCTTTTTACCTAGGATGTAAAAGAAAGTAAACCTGAGCAGATTAACCAAGACTTAGAAACAAAAAAACAAAAGAAGACTCAAGACAGCTAGAGAGAAGAGAGCTTCCAGAAGAATACTTGCAGAAAAGATTCTTAAAACAAGTCTTCAAGAAAAAGAAACTGGATTTAGAGCTACAAAACAAGAAGGTAAAATTATAGAAAAAGATATGAGAAGATTTTTGAGAGCCAGGTTCCTGATCAAAAAGGACAGGCTAAATTAAAAGAGAAGAAAAAGAAAATGTAAATATAAACAAATGAATCTTGGCAATAAACTTTTGATAGAAGAAGTAGAATTGTTTATTAATCGAAAATTAGATTTAATTTATTGTTTTAAAAAAAAGAATAGTTTAGAAAAGCTAACTAATTGTTAAAAATTCTTTTGTTTTAAAACTATCTTAATATGGTTTCACTAGCTAGCTTGGTGTAGTTTTCAGTATAGGCAATAGCCTTAACTAGTATGACAAACTGCACTTGGATACCTTTAGAAAAAGCTTAGTATTATCAGATCTACAGCCTAGATAGTTTAGAATATACTTGTATAATTACTTTGATCTAGTAAAAGATATCAGTGAAGCTACCAATATAGATAAAAAAAATAGTTAATAATATAGTATATATTTATTATTTTAAAATGTTATAATCAGAATTTCTTTGAATATTATATAAGAGACAGTAGAATTGTCCAAGAATTTCTTTCTAATTTTTGTTAATAGAGATAATAATGAAATATCTAAATTTAAAAACTTGTTAAAAAAGTTTATAATAGTATCACTAACCAAATTGAACAATTAATGCTTATTAACTATTTTTATAAATTTATAATATATTTTGTTAGGCTATTTAATGATTGTAAATATTGCAAGTAATTAAAAGTATTATTAAACAAAGCTTTTTCATGGTTTTTAAAATTATATTTTACCAAAGAAGAAGTATTTGTTAAAAAAAGTTCTATTTTTATATTAAAACCAGATAATACTAATAGGTTTTATTCTAAATAATATATATTATTAACTAATATTCATAATTTAATAATTATTTATAGCCAATTTACTTTATAAGCTTTATTAAAAGAATCTAATCTAGGTAAAAATAATGTTGATATATTACTATTATATATAAAAAACAATTGTTGATAGTGCATAGAATCCAGATTATACCATATGTACTAGATAATAATAACTTCTACTTGACATGGAATAATATACTAGTAGAATACAAAACTCACAAATTTATATGATATCTACAAAATGCAAGAAACACTGTCAAGTGATATTCACTTAATAGAACAAATAGTTGGCAAGAGATTTGACAAAACACAAACTAGAACAGCACTTACCAATTTATTAACTATAACAACAAGCCATATACAAGGTTTACACACCCAAAACTAACACAAAAAAAGAACTTCAAGATCAAATTTTTATTAGACAAACTACCAACATTACTCAACCTACACTACCAAAATCCAAAGAAATATGCAAACCCTACATGCAACAGATGCACCTAGATAATTGAGGACAATACTCATTGGTTGATCTGCCCAATGAACCCAACATCTCTACATCAACTGATAACAGAGACAGTTACAAAATACTGTTCCAAAAATAAAAACCAATTACTAGACTTTGCAACACTAGTACAAAGTTTTTTCATAAATGATACAGACACACCTAACACCTTATTACTAAAAGGACTAATCCTGGAGAACATCCAGACCACCACTTTAATACACAACAAAACATTTGTTAAAATCTTACACAACTAACATATATAAACAAATATGGCTTGAATGCTGTAAAGGTATACATCAGAATAGACCCCTTACTGATACATTTACTGCTATAACCTTAGCTCACCCTTCGACACAGCACACCAGTACAACTAAATATAACAAATGGGAAACTCTGTTCCCCACAACTAACATATCTTCTTCGTATATAGCTAAACTAAATCTAGTGAAGGCCAGGTAGCCCACTCTAGTAGAGCTTTGGGCCGAGGATAAACTAGTCCTAGCTGTAGGTCCCTGTAATAATTCATGTAACTCATTTAATTAATGTAACGCATAATTATTCAATAAAGACCGAGGCCAGGTCTCACTCTTAAAAAAAAAAAAAAAAAAAAGAAATATTTGGTTTCAATGTGCTACTTGATTATGCTCAGCGAAGACCATCTCTCCAGAGATAATGTATAAGTAGGCGTAGCATATTTGAAATCATATTTCTTAAATTATCGACTTAAATAAAGTATTTATGTATACGTACGTTTTATTGATGTCAATAATTTAGGAAATAACTTCTTTATAAGGAGATTGTAATTTTAGATTTCTTGCATCGTACGTGAGAAAAGATTAAAGAATTCTTTAAATGGTTAGTATCGCATTTTTTTGAAATATATAGGGCGTAATTAACCGATCAAATATGTTAATCGAATGTAAATGATTTATAAAGAATATAAAATGATCTACGTCTAAATTTGGAAATTGCAGGCAAATTTGCCTGCAAAACCGTTTAAAGGATAATGTATATAAAGTCGTATCCTTCAGTCCAATGTAAGAAGTATATTCTGTTTTTTTTTTCAAATAATCATTCAACCATTATGCCTGAAAAATTGAGTGCAGAGAAAGTAAACGAAGTAATTAATAATTACATTAGTCACTTTATAAAACTAAATAGTTCGTCTATTTAATAATTTTCGAATTATTAACTGTCTTAATTATAATGATAGGTATTTAAACAATTCGATTTTAATAATAATGGTATCTTGTCCCTTGCCGAAATCGATAATGCAGTAATCTACCTCTACCCACAATTTTCTGACAAAAAGCCTGTCCTCATGCGAGCTTACAAAGCTGCCGACACTTCAAAGGTTTGTCCAATTAAATCCTTATTTTATTACCGTACAGCGGTACATACAGTACCATGCGTGACAAATAATGCATTAAAGTATTATTTATACAATCGTACTATCAATTATATGTGATTTTTAAATTTTACTATGTAAAAGATTGTGTCATATATCACACCTGATACTGTATGCTGTGTTGTATGTACGTACGTACGTACGTACGTTAATTGAAATATACTGTCTCACGTTATTATGCAATCAGGACGGATTTATTGAACGTGACGAATTCCCCCGTCTTATTGAGCTTCTTTATTATTACAACGAACTGTACGATCTTTTTCCAGCAACTTGATAAAAACGTATCACTTTTGAAGAATTTAAAAAGGGATATAGACTTATGGGAATAAACCGCCTTTCAAAAGATGAAATTAAGGAAGAATTCAACAAAATCGATACGAATCATGGAGGGTATATCCTTTTTGATGAGGTAAAGCTTATTATAGTTTTTAGAAGTGAATAAAATTTAAGTATGCTAATTAATCTCATATGTTAATTAATCTCCATTTTAATTTCAGTTCTGTATTTATGCTGCAAAGAAAAAATTAGTTGAAAGTAAAACCAGTGCTT